AATAAGCAGACACTACAAACCATTGTAGTCTGAAAAAGCAGACACTACTAACTTTTGTAGTCTCAAAAAGCGGACACTACAAACCATTGTAGTCTGAAAAAACAGACACTACTAATTTTTGTAGTCTCAAAAAGCGGACACTATTACTTTTGTAATGAGAAAAGCAGACACTACTAATTTTTGTAGTCTTTGTCTGACCTTTGTGGTCTATGCCCAACTTTTGTAGTCTATGTCCGACTTTTGTAGTCTTTTTTGTAGTCTATTAGTAAACTTTGTAGGCTATAACTTACTTTTGTAGTCTGTCAGTGTCAATTACCCTTTTAGGGCATGTACCTTCCTTTTTGGGAGAAATTTCCCACGATACAATAGTTGTAGCCCCTTCTCTTAGCTTTCTAAATCTGTTGAAATCATGTTGTTTAGTGTTCTTTTCATGAAGAAAAATGCAAAAAACAAAAAAAAACGCGGCACTTTTGAAAACCTTTTACCTTATATCTCCACAATGGAAGCACTTTAGGACATAATTCCAACTGATTCTGGAAGCTATGGTAAAGAGCTACAACTTTTGTTTGTTTACCATTTTTGGAAATTTGTCATGTGACTACCCTCCCAATGACCCATTGGATGGACCATAATAGCTATTTCATTGCTATCATGGAATATAATGAAAAATCATAATGATATCCCTGGGGGCAGATATGAAATTGGAATGAAATATTGAGATACTCAATGAAAAATCCCAATGAAAGCTGTGGAATATTCAATGAAAGTGCACATCATTAATTATGAAAGAAGCAATGAATACATATAACCTAGCTAATGAAATATTTATTGAAATGCATAATGAAAGCACCCAGAATTGATAATGAAATATTCAATGAAAGCGCACAGCATTAATTATGAAAGAGGCAATGAATACACCTGACCTAGGGAATGAGATATTTATTGAAATTGCACAACATTAATTATGAAGAGTACAATGAAAGCATCCAATATTCCTAATGAAATATTCAATGAAAGCGCACACAATTAAATATGAAAGAGGCAATGAATACACCTGACCTAGGGAATGAGATATTTATTGAAATTGCAGAGCATTAATTATGAAAGGTACAATGAAAGCATCCAATATTCCTGATGAAATATTCAATGAAAGCGCACACAATTAAATATGAAAGAGGCAATGAATACACCTGACCTAGGGAATGAGATATTTATTGAAATTGCACAACATTAATTATGAAGAGTACAATGAAAGCATCCAATATTCCTAATGAAATATTCAATGAAAGCGCACACAATTAAATATGAAAGAGGCAATGAATACACCTGACCTAGGGAATGAGATATTTATTGAAATTGCACAACATTAATTATGAAAAGTACAATGAAAGCATCCAATATTCCTAATGAAATATTCAATGAAAGCGCACACCATTAGATATGATAGAGGCAATGAATACACCTAACATAGTGAATGAAATATTTATTGAAATCACACAGGATTAATTATGAAAAAAGCAATGAAAGCACCCAAAATTCCTAATGAAATATTCAATGAAAGTGCAAACCATTAATTATGAAAAAGGCAATGAATACACCTAACCCAGTGAATGAAATACCTATTGAAAGCGCACAGGTTTAATTATGAAAAGCACTCTGTGGCCTTGCCTATATCTTATGAGAAGAACATAGCCTTTATGATAAAGAAAGACACAGGACACACCTATGAAAGGCCTTTCATAAAACTTGTGGACTTATACACACAGCTCTACAGGCAAGTGCCTTAGTTTTATGATAAAGNGTGGTAGCCACTTGTGGACGGCAAACATTTTCCCTCCCCCTTCTCTGTCCCCTTTCCCTCCCCCCTTCCCTTTCCCTTCCCATTTCCATGACCCCTTCCTT